AAATTAAATTTAATATTAAGGAGTTTCACATAATTGCGCGGATCAAAAATATGAAATTTTGATGCTGTGATGTTGAAAATATTTAACAACGGCCACAGAACGTTCTTTAGCTAAAAATGTTAAACGAAATCTTATGGAAAGTATAATTACAAATAATACGCAACTCAGTAAGTGTTTATTCAGTTGGCGCAAGTTGCAGGGGAGTGTTGTAATAATATCTTTGTATGCAGCGAAGTTTTGAAAGCACAGAACTATCTAATTTTATCTTCAATACGCAGATCCTAATGAACTTCATCACAGGCAGGACACTTAGTTGCTTCCGGAAGACTTTTCGTTCTTCAGTCGCTTTAGATTATTTTATTGACAGATTTTTAAGATGATAGAGTTGCGTCATATTGTGAAAATATATATTTAATTAATTAATCTTGTCCGTCTAATCACAATTTAAAATTTAAAATTAAGATAGTTAAAATACCATCTACACCTCTCATCTCAGGTATGTTCATATTTACTTTTCAAATATATTATTTTGTTTTCTATTCTCTTTATTCTTATTCATTCATTAATATTCATTTATTCTTTGAATTATTTACATTACAGACTGATATAAAAAACATCAACAAAAACATTCACCGACCTAAAAGTTTATTTGAACACGACGCACATATATAGAACAACTTGAAATATATTAAAATGTAATCTGGAAGTAAACACCACTAATAACTGATAAACAACTACAAAAAAAGTTGCATATAAGAAATTATGATTAAGTTTTAAGTTTATATAATTGTAATTTTTACACACCTGAAGATGGTTCATCTAAGAACCGAAACATGTGGTGAGAAAGTGATGTTCCAAATGTAAATCGAATGTTTCGATAAGGAGCATCACATGGTATTTTAACTATCTTAATTTTAAATTGTGATAGACGGACAAGATTAATTAATTAAATGACAGATTTTTATTCATTCCTTTCCTGAAATTACACCTTTTTTGTTTTAATCTTGATTTGATTTTTATGGAAATGGCATTTCGGAAACGTTTACCTGCTTTTGTTTCTTTAATTACTATTACATCTTCTGAGCCCAAAACTGTTGCTGTTGATTTTAATTAAAAATTATGTAATGGTCTTATTTGCGTTCGTATTGTGTTAATGATATTGGAGTTCTGTTTTCATTATCACGTTCACCACACACTAATATTTCCTCGAGGCATAAAACTGTTTCGTTTTATTAGTCATATTACGTATTCTTTCTCCACTGGTTACAGCCATAGTATGGCGAAGCTGAAATATGCATCTGTTGCCTGGCGCTACGTTACATCGACGAATTCATGCACACTCGAGAGTGTAAAAAGAAATTTTGCTGTTTCATGATACAGAAGTTCTTTTTGTGAGTGTACGTTGGCTGGACTGAGTCTCTCAGCACTATTCCATGCGGCGACATCTTGATGCCTTATTAATGCATTTAAAAATAAATTAGGCGTTTTTTCCATGCTTTATTCTCCCAGTGTACGGGCACCTAATAGGATAATTAATCTTATACGTTTGTGTGAAATCACAATTTAGAAGTCGGTCACTAAGCTACACGTGTTCCTGAGGCCAATCCAGTTTGATATCACATCGCAGTTTATACGAAGTATATTTCACTGACGGACATAATTAGACTTCACTTTTAACTTTTCCTTCATCATACCCTCTTGGTTTCGTATTGTACACTGTGTAGAACAAAAACCAAGCACTTTAAGTTTTCTAAGTTCCAAACCGGAAGTTATGTAAGCGTACAGCTGGCGTCATAATTTCAGTCATTTGTAATCTCTTTGTATTTGTCCGTGTGTGGAAAATTTCAAGCTCTAGATTTTTGTTGCCCACTGGACTCTTCTAAACTGTTGTGTGATTTTACTACATTGTTTATACTGTTCTGCTGTTTTATTATGAAGGCTGAAACTGGTATTTTTATTGTTGTCAGGCATATAAATACACATATAAATAATAATAACTTTGTGCTGTATTTATTTATTCATTTTCCTTGGTTTTATTCTTTAAAGAGTTTTGATTTTGGTGAAAACTATTTATAGGTCAGATTTCTTCCTCTCATAAATTTAAGTAAAGGGAATTAATATTGTAACTTGACCGTGTTTTTTTGTTATTGTTTATAACAAATTCATACTTCTATAAATTATTTACTTGAGTATGGTACCGAAGACGTTGTTTTAAACAGTTTTGTTTCATTAAATATTTATGAAAGGAATTATTTATTTATAATATCGATTTTGGTATCACCTACGTAGCTACAATTTTATGTGTATATTCAACACTTTTTGTTGTTAAATTTTCTTTAAGTTTTCGTTAAATCTTGTGTTTCGAGCTTATATATCCTTCAGGACATTCTTTAAACAAACTAAAAGAACGTTATTCTAAGATCGTGATATTATACTCTTTGTGTTATTAGCCCGAAGCCATAATTGGATTCCACTGTGTCACTTAGAAATAAAATATGATTTGAGAAATCCGTACAGAAATAATGGATGCCAGGCGGTGAAATGGAGTTGGAACTTGACCGGATACAGATCTCCAGTTAGTTCCGTTGTTTCACATTCAGAGAGCGCGCAGTGACAATTACATAAAATAGATTGATGCGTATAGTCATTGGAGTTTATAATGAAAATGTTTGACAGTGGTAAAAAGCTCCCCATTCCTTCAACAGCTGACCACAACTCACAATGTGATTTCAATGAGTGTCTGAGTGTGACAATGGTTATGTAATGGAACATGTTTATTCATATGAAGTGGTACTCTTTATGGTATAGCGACTATAAACAAGCATATTCTGGTATAACTGAAGTCATACGATTCTATTTTCTGTCCTGTGTCACGTTGTATAATTAGTCGATTATTTATTTGCAAATAACTGTTAAACTCTTGTCTATTTTGGAAACCACAGATGACTGATGTATATAGAGCAAATCACTTTGCCCCTCTGCGTGATTGTGTATTGTCGAGAGACAATATGTTACAGGACTTTGAAATCAAAATGCTCTTGAAAACATTTGGCCTCAGCAGTGGAATGGAAGTTTACAGCTCACAGTTCGTAAATAATAGAACTCATGATATGAATGTTGATGAAAGGTACAACGGATTTAAAGAGCATTTTGGCGCCAAAACAGCTAGGAAAGACTAAAAACTAGTTTATTTTATTGCGAATGGGTTGTGAGTGTTGGAACTTGGTGGGAGGGACTCTGAGAATCGTTTCAAGTGGCAGGTTTTGGTATTGGAGCCGTTGGATGTATTATCAGAACTAAAATAACAATTTACATAAACTGTGCTCAGTGGAGACAAACGATTGTGTCCCTGTTAGGAGCAACAGCGGGGCAAATCTCCTGCTAAAAGAAATAGATGATGAGGAATCCGTTTTGTCGCGAAAGTCTAGATCAATGGTATTCAATCTTTTTTGTTCGTGTACCCCCCAGATATAATTTCTCTTCAACTTTGTACCCCCAAAGATGTTGGTGTATAATTCAAGTTATACATAGTATATAATCTACATCTAAAATAAATTAAGTAAATTACATTACTGATTATTTAGTGTTTATCATAAAATAATATATATTTTTTTAAATTTCACGTTCCCCCTAAGATGTCTTCGCGTACCCCAGGTTGAAATCACTGGGTTAGATTATGCGTCCTGCAGAGACGCGAGATAACAATTGCCGGTGTGTACAGACACCTGCTCTAACGACACTGTATCTAAGTCTTGGGACCCATGACTCCGGTTCATAACTCTGCTTGTGCTCGGGAAAACGTCCACATTTACGGAACACGAACACGAATAATCTGGAGGCATCTTCTTCTTCTTCTTCTTCTCCTCTTTTTTTTTTTTTT